TGACTTCTTGGGGAAGAAGTAATTTGTAAGAACACACTCATCATATGCTCAGCTTGTATCTCATTTACCACAGAGTTTATTTCTGGGGTTAATGAATGGAATCTTTCTGTAGGAGGGATGATAATATCTTGGAGACATCCGACTTCTAACAGAAGTTGAGGGCTTATCAGAAGCTCTCGGTATAGTTGGTTTTAGAAGGTAGACAAATCAATTTGTGCCCTTCGAATGACAAACTTTAACTGACATGTACAATTTGTGGATACTGTTTTACAGTACTCTGAGGATCCTAAACAAGGGTTCCTGGTGTTAAAGTAAGCCTGTATTTTGACAGTAAGCCCATTGGGATTTTGGGCTCCAAAGTGAACTTCAAACAGAAATTATTGTATTACACCAAACTTGGCTAAACAGATGTTTGGGTTAACCTGGGTAGGAAGACAACAGACTCCTGCATATGTTTGTGTTTGGGCCTTTAGTTCAAGCAAAAGGGCCATTTTTATTTTTTCTTCATTTATTGTTTCCAATTTCAAAGGCATCTAGGCTTCTTCCTTGGAATAAAAACCTTTGTAATTAGACCAAAATTGGTCTTGTTTGGCCTCAGAGAGGTCTTTGTAGGAAGTATAAACTCCTTTGTTTGGCCCCGTAACTAGGGCATAATGTGTAAACCCCTTACCAGAAGGAGAAGTTGCGGAAGTCAACCTAACTTCCTTGTTATCTGCATTGCAGAAACTGTATAATGCGTTAATAATGCTTTGCTTCATTTTAGCGACTTGTTGCTCATTCTGAGCTGTGTATTTTGGAATATTCCAATTACTGTCAATTAAAACATTTAATTTGACATTTGTGGATTCCCTACCAAGAAATTGGTAGGAATTTGTAAGTATGGATAACTCTTGTTTCCCATACTTTATGTATTTCTCCACCATAAATGGAAATTTTGTGGGTTTAGGACCTAAAGGCCCTTTCCCTTTGTGTGTAGAATCCATCATTGGATTTCTTGTCCTTGAAAAAGAAACATTAGTAAACAAGTTATATTAACTTGTAGAGGTCATCAATGGTCTTTTGTTCCTGAAAAACAATCAGAAAATAGGTTATATCAAGCAACAAAATGCTTTATTTTCTCTAACCCTTGTTCTAGAGTTTTTATATGAGCCTTATAAAAGGCAACCTCATAAGCAAAATTACGAGGATTTATTTCATCTTTTATTAGATGTATTTTGGCTAATCTTCTCTTTAGCTCTTTTATGTGTTTTGTGATCATTATGATAGGATGAGGACCAGTCTCACCAAATCTTAATGGTCTGTGTAAAAACCCAAATCTCGGGGGGATTTCAGGGTCATTTTGTATTACCAAGTCATTATCCATAGTCTTGGTTTTTGTTGGAGGACTGGTCAAAGTCCTTTGTAGTGACGTACCTGGAAAGGATGTCAGCGAACATATTATCAATTCCTTTAATATGTTCAAAGTTTATGATTTTCCTAGAATTCATATAATCTTTGAATAAAAGCCATCTTCTGTGAGGCTTTTTATCTTCATGAATCTGGTTTTTACCATAAGAAACAATTGTTTCACAATCGGTTCTAATGGTTATTTCTGACTTATCTATCAGAAATAGTTTAAAAGCATCTAGTGCATGTATGATAGCATTGACTTCATAGTCAGTGCTGGTTTGGTACACCTGCGGTTTAACAGTGTATTTGCCAGAGGCATACCTACAAATTTGTTCTTCTATCTTAGAAGAATATTTGTTTTTCTTGCGCTTTAGGATGGCTCCCCATCCTAATTCGCTTCCATCACACTCGATTATCAAATAATCAGAGTCTAATGGTAATTGTAAAATTGGTAATTTGTTTACCATTTGTTTTATATTCTGAACTAATCTTATGTCTTTAGAATTAAATTTTCTAATAGAAGTCTTGTTGTATAAAGAAGATGTGTATTTACCCAAATTTGGAATAAAATTTCGGGCGTAATTTAATAGTCCTAAAAAGGATCTTAATGTTTTAATATCCTCCATTTTATTAGGAAAATCTTGGATTTTTTTAGAAATATGGGGTTGGAGTTTTATGGTTCCGTTCCCTATTTTGGTTTCTAGGAATTCTATAAATCTTTTACAGATTTCTATTTTGTTTTTAGACACTATTAATCCATAGTGTTCTAATTTATATAATACTTGTTTTAAATGAAGAAAATGTTCTTTTTTAGTTTTGGAAAAAACAAGTATGTCGTCTATATAGACGCAAGTAAAGGATTTAAAGTCCTTAAAAATGTTGTCCATTTTTCTTTGAAAAATGGCAGGTGCATTTTTAAGACCGAAAGACATCACATGTCATTCATATAATCCTTCTGAACAGGAGAAAACTGTCCATTTTACAGAGTCTGGATCCATTTTTACATAATGGAAACCACTCTTCAAGTCAAATTTTGAAAACCATCTTGCATTTTGTATGCGGTTTATCAAAATATCTTTAGATGGAATAGTATATCCATCTTCAACTGTGTTATCATTAAGTTTTTTATAATTGTAAACCATCCTAGATTTACCTTTTTTTTGTTCTGAAGTTTTGTTAACTATGAAAGCAGGACTCCTGTGAGGACTTTCACTTGGCGTTATTACTTTCAGCTTCAAAAGATTATCGATGTGCAATCGACATTCTTCTTGTTTCCAGTTATTAAACTGTATGTCTTTTGATTATATAATCAAATCAGGATTGATTATATTAAGTTTACACATAACAGGGTCACGATGCCAAAACTTTATAGGGTCTTCTCCTATTATGTTGGTTTTGTTTAACCTATCCAGTATCTGTTGGATGTTGTCAAACATAATTGTTTTTGATATCTTTATGGAAGAGAAAGATCACATAATATCATTTGTGTAGTAATAATCTAATTTTTCTAAATCTTGTTCCATACAATCACATATGTCAGAAGACGTAGGATTATCACAAGAACAACATCCATATGTTGTTCCATATATTTTTTGTTGTCACCGCTAATTATGGGAGACATTTCTGTTCTCAATCTTAACAAATCTTATCTAATGCGAGATCAATAATTAAAAGCCCAATGATAAGATAATTAGTCTTATTGTATCAAGTGTGCCGAGAGATATACCTTATAACATAAGAATTTGTTACCAAGTGCCACAGTCACGGTATCACACATGAGCTCAAATCCCAATTAGATGGTTGCACGATATTCAATTCATTTTTAAATTAAAATGTCTATTTTTTTTTTAAATTGTAATTTAAAGCACAAACTAGATTGACTCTCTCTCATATATATATATATATATATATATATATATATATATATATATATATATATATATATATATATATATATATATATATATATTGTGTCCAATCTTTAATATTTTGATTTTAAATGTAAGAATTGAAACTGAAACATAATGATTAAATAACAAAAAAAATAAAGAATACAAGAAAATGAAATTCAATAAAAGAAAGATTAATTCACAAATTAAAGATTCATGTAATTTGTCGTACCATAGTTCTTTGAATATACAAATTCAAATTTAAATATTGAACTAATTAATTAAATACAAAATATATTGAAGTGAAATTAAAAATCATATCAAAATATAATTCAATATAATTTATATATAATTTATCAAATAAAGATTCAATGAATTTTAATTTGAATTCTAAAAATAAAATAAAAATGCAAATCAATATAATAAAATGTAAATTTGAATTTAAAGATAAAAAGAATATATTTAAGAACATCATTTGATTAATGTAGAACCTAATTTATTATGTAGATTCAAACTTAAAAATTATTTTTTTATTGCTAAAAAATAAATAACACAAAATAGATGAAAATATATAAAATAATTCTAAAATAAAATAAAAAAGGAAATTTGAAACTATAAACAAAAAAAATAAATTAAATATTTAATTAAAACAAGTAAAAAAATGAATTTAGTCCTCTAGTTAGAGCTCAACAAATCTATATGTATAAACTTTAATTAATATTATCAAAATAAGTCTAAATGATTCATTTACAAACCTCACAAAGAAACTCTTATGTAAAAATATAAAAAATTTATTTCAACTTCTAAACATTATAAAAAATAATAAACTACTCCAAATCAAGCAAAATATATACTCAATTAAAAATCCCATAATTATATAATTGAAATCAGCAACATATAATATTAAAAAAAAAACGTTATAACCAACAGAATAACAAATGGCAAAATTAATAAAAAATAACATATATATATATATATATATATATATATAATTCTATCATCGTTATAAGTGTTACCACTTTTATTAATAGCATCATCTTATTATAAACATTTTATTTTTATTTAGCATCGTCAAGGTTATTATTAATCGTACCGACAACCATGTTGTAACACGTTATAACCATCATAAAAAAAAAAAAAAAAATTGGATAAGATGCTGACATGATGGCTGGAGATTTTTCAATTGACTACAATGAACCATCATCATCATCATATCCTTAGCTTTCCTTGATCAAGATTTGCACGGTACGGACCATTAAGTCGAAGCTATTTAATCACACATCTCTTAGTAATTCTTACTCAATGCATATCATAATCAATAAAAGGTCTCGTATCACTTTCATAAACGTCAACCTTGTTCTACACTACGGATTACCAACATTACTGTCGAAAATATTTGTAGCACAATGTTTCATATCAATATAATTAATTAATTTAGTTGTTTTTATTAATGTTTAAATATTATTAATAAACCAAATTCATTTTCATTGTTAATAAATTTTAAAATATTTTTAGTACTATTTATTAATAAACAAATCACATTTTAAAAATATTTAATAAAAAATAGTATACAAAAATTGTAAATTATCTTATATAAATTCTTAAAAATTTATCATAATTATTTTATTACATTAAAGGTAGACAAAGATAATATATGTTTAGAGTATAAAGAGGGACAAATGGGTCTTACATGATTGGATGAGGAGGTGTTGAAGGGATTGATCATGGCAAGGTAAGTCCAGAGGAGAAGCTTATTCCGGCCATGTTCCAACCCTTCATTTTGCAATCAGGGAGGGGCATCAATGTCCATAGCTTCCATTTGGTATCAAAAGAGAGCCACGTCATATCCCAAACCCCCTCGCAATTAGAGACCAAAGCAGCCATTAAGATACCATTTTTCTCCTCCAAGCACCCCATCATCGCCGCATAAGGCTTCTCAATCACACCAGGAACTGTGGACACAAACTCCCAATTCCTTCCGTCCATGCTAAGACCCCACAGTTCCACACCCTTCAAAACCCTCGTGCTCCTCGTCAGCCCACCCTCTTCGGTTACCCTCGCACCCTCTGATTTCACAATCATCATATACCCGTCACCGTACACGTGTAACCGGTCAATCACGCTCCCCCAGCTGAATCCAACGGTCAAATTACCACCAACACCCCGCGCGTAGTCAAATCTCGGCCGTAGAACCACCGGCGCATCGCATTCAGGTGTTGACGCAACCAAAACGCTCTCTCTAGGCCCGTGAACCACGTTCAGAAAAACGTGACCTCCGCCACGTGGCGATAACTCACTCGTGCTACTCTCAACTACCTCGCTTGACTTCCACGTGTCAGTCCCGGAGTCGTACACAAACAAAACGGGGTGGTTACGGACGAACTCTGCGAACATGAAACGGAAATGACCCGACCCGGATGGTTCGGTAACGAGCTTCATTCCGGATCGTCGCCACGAGGACGTGCCACGTGGACCCAGCGGGGAGGGGGGGATCTTCTTGACGGTTACGGAGACTAAATTAACGGCGACGACCTCGCGAACGGTGTTGGAGGCGAAGAGGAAGACGTTGTTGGAGGCGGCGAGGAAGTAGAGGTCCTCGCCGTGGAATTGAACCGGTTTGAGAAGTTCCGCGATGGGGATTCGGAACCATCGGTCGGAGCTCCGATCGGTGAAGGCGTGGAGCACGGCGTCGCGGAGCCAGCGCTTTTTGTAGACGAACAGCCACGTGGTGGAAGTGGATAGAGTGTTGCACTGGCGAACGAAGGTGTGGTCGGAGATGATGCGAGAGAAGGCTTTGTTGACGAGTTTTAACCGAACGATCTCGGGTAGCACTAGGGAGAGGAAGATGTTTTGGATGAGTTCCTGTGGAAGGAGACAGAGGCCAATGGCGTTTTGGGGAGTTGAATTTCGGTGATCGTCCATGTAAACACAGTCAACTGTGTGTTGTTGGTGGTTTTGGATTCCAGGTGGGGGTGGGTGGGGTTGTGCGATTAATCGATGAAGTTTGTACCACAGAGTCGTTGTCTCAGTGTGGTTTGGCTTTTGACAAGGATGTGTAGGATGATTAGGCTTTTTATTTGTTGGACATGCACCTTTAGATTTTATATATTTTTCATGATGGCCACATATAAGATGAAAGAAAATTATTGATGGTGCATCTTTACAGTGAAAGAAAGAGAGATAAGATAAGTGCTTCTAAATATGAGATGTTAATCTATTTTTCTCAAGATGAAAATGGGTTTAATTAATTTTAAAAGTCATTATAGAATATAAATTTTAAACATATATATTAAAGATAGTATTATGTTATGATTACAAATTTTACCTGTAGATACTTACTTGGGGTCAGATAAGACAAGCGTCCAACATGGATTCTAAACTCAAGCCATCGTCATGGGCGGTGTCGTTGCTTGCAATTTGACTCAGAGATGATGGGGATATTTTATGCTGAAGTTACTAGATGAGGGTGGTGTGAGAGTTTTAAAATTGATTTTAGGGAGTGTTGAGCTACACTGTGTGTGATGTTGTAATGCAGAATTATTGAATTAAAGAATGAGAAGCTGTGTCAACATGAAAAAGAGGATGAATATGAACCAGTGATAGTGTTGAGGCGTTCCCCAAATAAAGGTCCTCAGCACACCACGCGTGCGCTGTGATAGTGGTGGGGTGAGTCATGCTGCCCAGTCAACAAGTAGAAATGACCCAGAATCTCACCTTGCCTCTCCTAATGACGACATTGCCATTATTTAATGGCTAAAGTTTAGGTGGAAATTTGTGCAACTTGAGAGTCTAAAGTCAAGCGTAGCTAACCTTTGTCAATTCTTAACAATTGTGCTACGGATTCAACATTGAGTGATCAACCTTTAGTGACCCTGTGCAACCACTCTCTCTCACTTCATCCTATATTCACCAAAGTTTCACGAAAATGTATGGAAATAGTAAGAGAGTATTTTACATTAGCTGACCTAAAATATATAATTTAATAATAATAATTAATTAATTAAATTTTATTTATACAAATTAAATTAAAATATTATTTAATATAATTCATAGTTAATTATCAAATCAAATTCAATTAATTCCTAATTTAATTTTAAAATTAAAAATATAATTTATAATCACAAAGAACAAAATAAAGATTAAAGAAAAAAATAACTAATTGAAAACTATAAATAATTAATGTAAAAACCAATTTTACTTGTTGGATCTTCATTTTGAGTTGATCTTTAGAATTCAATTCTTCAATGAAAAAGAATACTAATGGATTTTAGAAAAGAATAAAAAATAAATAAAAAAAATAAAAAATGAAATTAAGATAAAAAAGAAGATGAAGAAAAAATCCTTCAAATTAAAAATTTAATAAAATGATTTCTATATATAAGTTTATAACACATCTAGACTATTTAAATGCTATGAGATTTGATGCAAATATTAATATAAATGTAAGATCTAATTAGGTTTATGAGTTCAAATATAAAAGTTTAAGCTAATATAAAGAAAATTTAATTCACATGATTTACTTTAGGAAATTTCAACAATGTCTCAACTTCTAAACATAATAAAAAATAGTAAAGAACTTTAAATCCAACATATTATATGTCTATTTCACAAAATGGAAATATAGAATCCAATATAATTAAAATTAACAAAAAAAATATTTTCAAAAAATGTTATGATCAAAATCGTCATTATGAACTAAAAATACAAAATTAAAGTAAATATGTATATTAAACCCAATTTATTACTATTAAAAGAAAATAAGTTAAAAGTTAAAGATAACATACAAAATGGTATTATTTTATTTGTACAACAAAACTATAAGTGTGTGTACAAAATACATGTCATTAATATTCTAAATTTTTGGTAATTCAAGTATATCATTAAGATCATCATAATGTATCATGTTCCCCTTAAATATCATTAACCAAAATCTATAATCTATCTCCAACTTGTTGACCATCAAAATCACCGCATTGCTCATTATTTTCAACATTTTTAGATAGGGAACAAACAACCACATCAAATTATCATAAGTTAAATTGTTAAAATTATTAAGTAAAAGAAACTCAGTATGTTCTTCCTCTAAGGAATATTCTCCGGTGAAGAATTAAAATATGATTACTCATATGTATGACCTTATAGAACAATACAAACATTTAAGTAAATCAATTATTTTTTAATAAAATGTGAGTGTTACAAAAGGTAAAAGGTCTTGTTTATAAATGTCTAACCCCTTTAAACTTAATGACACAAAAATGTGGGACTAAGAAGCATAAGGTGGATGTTCCAGTCAAATCAGTGCCAAAAATAAGCCTAATTTTGGTTTTTCTCAAGTGATGTGGGACTTCATGCTTCATGTCCCTCCTTTCTATGACGTAGCTGATTTTTCATGGGTTGATCGTTCAAACAAAACTCAATTTGAGGCTAATTGATATTCAAATCTAGCCCACATGTGTCTCTATAAAAAAATACAAAAATGCTTGGAAAATATACACCTATATAATTTGTACAAGACTAAAAAGAAAGAGAAAAAAAATTCTAGGAGTATTTCAAAGTAAGAGAGTATTCTTCTTTGAAACTCCTTCTTCCTCTATCTTTCTAATCATAAATCTTGTCAAGATCTTAATGTGTTGTCTCATAAATAGTTCTTTATCACTTGAGTGTAGTCTTCTTCATCTTGTTAATATCTTTATTGGTTTAGTCATCCATGAATTGTATACCATAACTTTTAGCAATCTTGTTCTCAACATGATCATACAACTTGTAGCCAAATTCATTACGATTATAACCAATAAAAATATATTATTTTATCTTTGCATCCAACTTGGATCATTCATCCTTTGAAACAAGAAAACAATGTCTTGAAATTGAAGACATGCAAATGATAATAATTAATATTTTTGTCAAACAATTTTTTTCTAGAACCTCAATATTAAAAACAACTGTAGGACTAAGAAAAATTTCTTCATAAAGTATACACCTAACTCTTTCAACCAAAGTCATTTTCATCATCTTTATTAGACCATTTACTTGAGGAGTTTTAGGATGAGTCTTTCAATATATGATACCCAATTACTTGTAATAGCCATTATAGGGTCCACAAATACTCACAATCACTATTAGTACGAATATTTTTTTAACTTCATGTTTGACTATCTCCCAGTCAATGCATGGAACTTTTTTACATTTCAAGTACTTGGTCATTTATCCACATTGAATAGACTCGTAACTTCCTAGAATAATAACTAATAAAAGCAATAGAGTAAAGTTCTCCATTAAACAACTTTACTTTCAATGGGCCAGAAACATTATAATGCTCAAATTCAAGCAAATCTAACTTGAGTGATGATGTTTTTTGAAGGCTACTTTAGTTTGCTTACCATATAATAAGAACATTTCTTTAAGGACAATGATAAATGAGAGTTTCAAAACAGAAAATACTTCAAATAACGATGATAAATGAAAGTTTCAAAATAGAAAATACTTCAAATAACGATGTTATCATAATTGATATGAAATTGGGATACTCTTGTTTAGGAACGGAATAATTATTATTCTAATATTATTATTAATAAGGTAATATAATAATTATTAATTATAATTATAATAATATCTATTGCAACTTTTTTCTAAGAAAAGAAAAGAATTAAAATCATATTATAAAACATAATTTCTTATATTTTATAATACAACTTATTTAAATTCATAACTTTTTTAAAATTTACCCGTATACATTTTAAAAACCATTACTCTATTTTGTAAAATAACAAATTTTAGTCGCTCCACGTTGTACAGGTGAATTGTCTTTGAAATTATTTTACTAGTAACATACAAAGAAAATAATGTTGCTAAAAAGAATAGCATTTATTCTAGTAACCAACCAGGGGTAATCCTTTTCTCTATCTCTTATTTTCTTTTATTAAATTACTGTCAAATCCTACAGTTTAAAAGAATACTTCGGCCTTTTGCACGAAGAACCAATTTTATCGTTGTGAAGCCAAGTATGGAATTGTTTATATAATGACAACGTATTCTTCGTTATTTTGTTGATCTTTCTGGATATTTTTCTTGAATTAGATTTGATCTCTCAAAGGCATGAAAAAGGTTGGTCAAACAGCACCAGTGCAAAGAATAATTTCTATGTCGATTAAAATGAGTTTTCTACGTCGGCTAAAGAGGCGATATAGATACGAGAGATCATGTCAATTGTTATGAACCGACATAGAAAATATGACTTTTTACGTCGGTTGTTATGAACCGACATAGAAAGTAATGAACTTTTTACAAAAATTTATAATGGCAAGATTCGAACCCAATACATTATAATCTAGAATTAGACTAACCACTAAACTACTACGATTTTTATTTATTTACAATTACATTTCTTTTATATTATATTTTTATTATACTTTATAATATATTATTTTATTATCTATTAGAAGTTTGTCATTAACAAGATTTGAACCTAATACCTTAAAGTTGAAGACTGATACTCCAACCACTAAGCTACAAATAAATTATATACACAAATATATTTATATATTTTGATATATTTATATACTTATATATTCGACATAAAAAGTTCACTTTCTATGTCGGTTGAAATTAACCGATATAGAAAATGAATTTGGTCACATACCATGTCGGTTATATAATAACCGACATAAAAAGTTCATAATATTATTAAAAAAGTGCCATCACTCTATATACTATGACGGATGGATTACAACCGTTATAAAAAGTCATCATATAATCATATTTTTTCACTAGTGCAACTTGAATTCGTCGATCTATGCTACGAACACTTTGAAGTTTAATGGGCTAAGTACTATTAAGTATTGAAAAGAGTGATTGGTTTATCTGTCATCTTAAACATTTACAAAAAAGTTGCGTCCTTGCTTGATCATGAAGGGTGAAAGATCTAATTCCGTGTAACTTTTTTTTTTTATCAAAGAATTTTTGTAAAAATTGAAAATACAGTGGTTAGCTTAATAAGCAATTGGATAATTCTATTAATAGATTAAACTAATATAAATATTGTCCTTTATTCTTATTCCTTTCATTATCTTAAACTACATTAAATCTTTAAATTGAATTTACCTTGTGCAACTAATAAAGGCTTAAATTCAGATTGGTTTGTTAAATTTTTGCATAATATAATTCATTTCCCTCTTAAAATTATTCTTAAATTCTATCAAGACTAAACTTAGTCAAGTCAAATTAAGTTAAGTTGGATAAGATCGAACTAAGTTGTATCGAATCAAGTCTAGTTAGAAAAGATTTAGATTAGAATACTCTTAACCAATTTAAGATATTAAGTCGAGTCCAATTTAGTCTAAATTAATCAATTTGAATTGAATTGAACTATATTAAGTTGTGTTAGATTAGACTGGACTGATCAAATCAAATCGAATTTAATAAGACTAAATTGAGACCAATCATGTCAATTTTAATTAAATTATAATATAAATATAAATTTAATTCAATTTAAATATAAATTAGAAACAAATTAAATATAATTATATAGATATAAATTTTCGTCCAATCTATTTTATTGAATTTGGTTTAAACATACATTGAGATTTAAAGAATTTTAGAAAAATTATAAATTATATTTAGCAACATGTTTATTATCTATACAACTTCTAAAGCTTTTTCATTAAAAAAATTAATAG